TTTACCATTACTTCCTTTTACCATCCCATCATGGATGGTAAAAGGAAATAATGGTAAAAGGAAGTAATTTATGGGATCAACCATCCAAAGCAACAGAGAGGTGAAGAAGAGAGTGCAGGGAGGGTCGAGTGTTGGGGATTTCTGACAGAAGCAGAGCAGAGTGAGTGAAAGGGAAGGTTTACAAGATGGTAGTGAGAGAAGATCATGGGACTAATAAAAAAAGACAGGAGGCCTAGTTGATAATGTTAATGTTTTCACTGAGAGTGACCAGGATGGAAATGATTAGAAATAAATAACATCAGTGGAACAACTCAGGCTGAGAGCTTTGGAAACAATTTTAGAGATGGTTTGGGCATGTGCTGAGGGGGACAGTGGATGAAAGACAGAAGACGATGAATATAGAGTTAGGGGCAGGGTAAGAGGGACGCAGGTGATCTGCTGTGGTGATCCCAGAAGAAGATGAAGACCTTTTAACACTTAAAAAGCTTTACCTACATTAATTCAATGAAATATATTTGGGGATTTAGGTGATGGTTTCATAATTTTGTTTTATGTATATTATGTTACTACTGGTGGCCACGTGATGTCGCTAAATAATCGTCGGAGTCGATGTCCCATAATCCCATGCGGCTTTTGGCTTTAAACCGGAAGCGTAAGCTCCGTCTTCCTCATAGTTTGAATGGTTTGTGAGTGAGTGGTTGTGTGTTTGAGTGAGTGCGTGAATGATGTGTGAGTGTGTCGTGTCTGTGTTCATTTTAAAAACCTACACACTGATCTTATTTGATCCGGTCTGAGGTGGCTCTGCTCTGACTGGAGATGATAGGAAACGCGCCTGCGAGCCTTTGTGGCGATGTGCAGCCGGCAGAAACTTTCAGGGCCTCCACGCTCCGTGCCGTGGTTAGAGGTGATGAATTGATCAGATATACTAGCTCTGTGAGAGTTTGAGTTCATCTCAAACTTCGCAGTGGTCAATGAGTACAGAGGCGATTCTGATCTAACCACAGCAGGAGGAACCGTGGAGGAACACGACCTAAAGAAACGGCTGCTCGTCACATACTGCTTATTGTAACGGTTAAAACGAGCTCAGACAGGCTTCGGACTGTGAAAATACCAGGAAAGCAAGGCTTACCAAACGCTCGTTTTCCTGGTAAAGACAAAAACAGCTAGGTGTGTTAGTCCTAAAGTTGCTTATTTAGCCAAAAGCACTTTTCCTCCCTTAAAGCGACCGATTCAAAGGGAAAGGGGGAGAGTGGGAACAGAGCTATACGGGATTAATTCAATCACGTAATGAAGATCATTTAAGGGCTGACTTCTGTTGTATTTATTTTCAAAGATTGACTGTGCAAGCTTTAATTGTTTTTCCAAAAATAAATAAAACGGGTTTGGCTTTAAAATATTTACATTTACAAATATTAAATAAACTCTATCCAAAGAGTTGAAATTTCTGACCTTGTTTAAAAAAGATACAATTTAATTTCCTTCAACGTCCATGGTTCTCCAGACCTGCAGCCAGCTCAACAGCTACACTGAGTCACAGTCAAGAGATAAGATCATCCAAATCCTCAGAAATGTTATCACCGCCCATTTCTGTTTTTGACCTGTGGAAATGTTAATTTAAAAAAACCCATTAGGCACTTCTCGAATTTTCAGAATGTTCCACTTTGGCCATAATTTATATTTTAGGACTTAATGAATCAAATCTAAAACCTTCATAACAATTGTTTTTAAACTCTCGCACTCTTCGCACTAATCCATCATACTAATCTTCCCTGGACCAGTATCAGTTTGCATTTCAGGGGAAACTGGTCAACATAGATACACATAGACAGGTATAATAACATTTAAAACTCCCCATAACTGAACTGCGAACTTCATTAGAAATCTTTCTTATTAACGCTAACACAGCATGCATCACCTGCACGTGTTAAATTATGTTTTCGAGTATTTTCTACTCTCCTTTTATTTTCTAATAAAGTATGTTATCATTTGGAAATCAAACATTTTAGGTGCATGCTGTACGTTTGTTATTGTATGGGTAAAATTCATATCTCGCGATAGCTTTAGCGCTGTGGTCGCCTTTGTGTATACACGTGATCTTTTTGGTCCAACCGGCTTTCAGCAGCAACTCGGCAAAGCGCGCGAGGTGTCTGTCAGCGTGCGTGAACGTGCCTGGTTGTCTTGTGTGTTCCCTTCCCTGTTGGGGTCACCATGGCCGAACCCAGCAAACGGCAGAGGCTCAGTCACATTAACAGCAGCTCACAAACTTCGAGTAAAAGCTTATCGAGCATTTTCACGGACAGTCAGGACGAAGGACTCGAGGGGGAGGGTCGATTTGTGGAGGGATCCATACTTCGGATCACCATGAAGAACTTCCTGTAAGTTGCTGCTCCTCAGTTGTCAGCGGTCAACGTCTGTAAACTGAAACTACCGGAACACCCCGATTTACCTGCTGATAGTTACAGCCAGATGACCTAGATAGCATATATGCTAACATTTTGCCACCAGTTTGCGATTAAAAGTTAAACACGAGCAGGTCGTAGACCCACTGATGGAAGCTGCTACAGACCGACTATATGGTCCAGCAGCTACAGTTAAGTCCAAATGAGGTATTTTAGTGAGCTTTCCTATCTAATTGTACGATTTAAGGGGTCACATTCAAGGCGGGTGTTAAAATAGATATATTAAAGAAGGGGTTCGCCATGAAGAACCCGTTATCAGAATCAGAAAGGGTTTTATTGCCAAATGTTGAGCAGGTTTACAACATTAGGAAATTGCTGCGGTACTTAGTGCAAACATACTGTCATATAACGCTTAAATAGACATAAAAATAAGAATAAGAATTAAAAGTGCTAAGTAGATAGATATATACATGAGTGCAGGTGGTGATCAGTGCAAACAAGGAATGATGCAGTGATCATCGCGTCTGTTTCCATTGCTTTCTACTTCAAAGGGATGAGAATCACAGGCAGCTCTAGCTTAAAGCAAAGTGCCAAATCCAGCCAGTCAATAAAATCCTGTACCCTCAGTCTTATAAATTCTGTATAAAAAGGCAGTGGAGCTTAACAGCGAGTTACATGCATCCCCTTTTTTCAGTCTGTTTCTAAACCATGTTCACACTCAGAGATGATAAGTAGATATTGATAACCTGTTCAGAGCTTCTTTTCCACCCAGAAAACTAACCAAGAGTCAGTTACTGGTATAACTTCTCATCTTACTGTCATCCATACCTGCCTGTAAGGTTTTTTTTTAATGAAACTAAGTAAACATCCATTGTTATACAGACTATTCTACATTTATTAACTAGTTTATCTGTAATACATATTTGTATTATTGTCAACCAGCCTCCAAAATTGCAGTAACTGTGCAGGAATAAGACTGGTTGTAAATAAGTATTTCACTGTGAGTCTGCCTGTCACAAATGTTTAAGCAGTATAACCAGATGAACAGGTACCGTATGTAAACTTCAGGTCTCACTAACAGACAGCCATTGGAAGTGTAAGATAGCAGTATTGGCACTTTTACGCTATTACATTCATTTGTACTGTTAGTGTAGATTGCAATTATTTTAGGCGAGATGGAGCATCTTTGCTCTAAAACACTGCAGGAAACCCCTGAATGTCTACCTTGTACTCACAGGACGTACGACTACTCTGTGGTGCATCCTGGACCTAATCTGAACATGATTGTCGGGGCCAATGGTACTGGAAAGTCCAGCATTGTGTGTGCCATCTGTCTGTGTCTGGCTGGCAAGACAGCTGTTCTTGGCAGAGGTGATAAGGTAAGCCACAGAGCAATGCAAGTCATTGATTGATGCACAAACTTATTTTGGATTTGTTTTCTTTTTAAAAGACCAGCAAATAAACATAATGTTAGCAGACTGGAAAAACAAGCTGTATGTGGTGATAAGCACGCCTCTATGAAAACCTTTCATTGCTCTTCATTGCAGCGCATGTACTGTTGTTTCTCATCTCCCTGCCCCTTTATCAGTCAAAATATGATACTTTGAACTGAGCTCACATACAGATACTGCATTTGTTGATGATGATTATTGAATGGTGCTTTGTTTTTTTTAAAGGTTGGGCTCTATGTCAAGCGTGGTTGCAAAAAAGGCCATGTTGAAATTGAACTGTAAGTTATGTGAAATACATTCCACACGCTACATTACTCTACTGCTCCGTTAGCATTACATGTTTTCAGAAATTCTTCATGAATCTTTTCAGAGAAGAAGTTTGAATTCTGAACCCTCATCTTTTCAAAAAATGAAATGAAAATTTGCCAGAAGTTGTTACATCACCTGCGTTATTATGTTCAGCATAGTGATATGACTCTAAACGCTAGCCTTTGTTTTTGTTTTTGAAGGTACAAAAGAGGTGGTAATGTGGTGATTTTTAGAGAGATACATGCGGAGAACAATCAGTCTCTGTGGATGTTGAATGATCGGCAGTGCAGCCAGAAGGCGGTGGAAGAGGAAGTCAAAGCTTTGCGCATCCAAGTCAGCAACCTCTGTCAGTTTCTACCTCAGGTATGTTTATGCCTCTGCAACATAAAGCTGCACAGATGCAAAAATATACAGTTTCATCACTGTTTTAGTGGCTTTTTTTCCCTACGCAGGAAAAAGTGGGCGAGTTTGCCAAGATGTCCAAAATAGAGTTGCTGGAAGCAACCGAGAAGTCAGTGGGCCCACCAGAGATGTATGAATACCACTGTGAGCTCAAAAACTTCCGCAATAAAGAACGAGAACTGGAGGTAAGCTCAAAGCCAGCGATCCAACAGGCAAAGTTTGATGTGGTAGAAATAAGAAAAAACTGCAACAAAATTCATTCATGTTTGTTTTTTAAGTTGTCCTCCTCTTAAAGACATGTAACGGCAACATGGCTCTTTGCTTCTCCGTAGAACGTTGTGAAGGAGAAAGCAAGCTTCCTGGAGAAAGCCAAGCAGCGAAATGAAAGGAATAAACACGATGTAAACCGTTACTACGAAAAAAAGAGGCATCTGGATGTAATCGAGTTGCTCGAGAAGAAGAAACCGTGGGTGGTGAGTGAAGAGAAATGAGCACAGCGCACATGTGGAGAGAGAAACTGAATTAACTGCGTAAGCTGTTTCTGTTTCCTTGTGATATTAGGAGTACGAGACCACCCGTAAGGAACTTGAGGGTGTGAAGAAGGAGCGCGACGAGGCCAAAAAGCAGCTTTCAAGCCTGAAGCAGACCCAGGCGCCCATGGTGAAGAAGATCCAACAGATTGACGAGCAGCTGAAGCCAACGGAGGCACAGATAAAGGCTAAGGTGACAAATC